CCTGGAGTAGGGAGACGGTCCAAAACCCTAGCAAAGTAGTCTAGAGGAGAACTTGGAGACTGCAACACTGAGGTGCCATTATTTAAATGATGCAGATCAGAGTCTATCAGTGGATGACATATAAAAACAACACACAAAACAAAAAAGTTTGTTCAGGCATCAAGGTTAAGTCATCTTGGAGATTGTATTTGCATCTCCATAAAACAGAACAAACAGAAATGGCAGAGAAAAGTGTTTTCTTTACTCGTAAAAAAAGCTTGACTTATTTTCAAACTTAAAGCTTACTCTGCTCAATTCCTTTAATTTTTTATTTTTACTGTTTTATTATTTACACCAGTTGTGTTATAATAAATGCAACATGTCATACTTTGCAGATGACTAAGTTAAAATGTATTGTATATGTACCATTCTTTTATTGAGCTTATGGAAAAGGAGAGACATTAAAGAAATGTTTGCCTTAAATTGGAGGAAAGTGAAACTGTCCCATTAACCACTCAAACATGAGACCCACATTGTTCCGTTTTGATTGTCCAAACTGAGGTCACAGTGGGGGTTGGGCATGTGTCTGAGCTTTGTGCACGAGACAGACCTGCTATTACCACCGTCTCTATCTAGACTTTACCATGCTGCAGTTGCTATACACTGAACATGTTGGCACTGGACCAAAGGAAACATATCCCGTTTTGCAGGAATGCTGTTTATATCTGGTGATAGATTTAAATTATATGCGAAGTTAAACTGAGTGAGCTAAATTTGCACATCAAGTACATACACCATTGTCTAATATGTTCTGTGGCTCAGAAGGGACCTTTCCAAAATATTAAAAAAAACCTTCATGATGATTAAAGCATTATCTTTAGCTTGGCGTGACACTTCCAGGTTTTCTGAAAATCCAGCATGTATTAACGCTGGAGGTGCTGGTTTAAAGGATGCATGTATTTAGGAGGCAGGAATTGAATCACTGCTATTGACGTGCATTATGGAAATTGTAGGATCAGTGTTTTTGAAGCTTGCTCAACAAAAGGACAGTTTGCCACTGCTGCTTTAATTTTGACCATTCTTGTTTTTATGAGTCTGTTTATGGTCTGTAAGAGCAAGACGTGGAAGCAAAAAGATAATGCATGCACACTTAGGTCATGCCACAAAAGTCAATTATTAACTACATTTGATCCTACTTGGATCTTCTGTGGTAAAAATGTTTGAAAAGTGTAAACCAATTGTATTTCTACATCATGCTCACAAACAAACAAGCTCTTTGAGTTTGGTTCATCGCCACACAAACAATTACGGTTCAAACAATATATAGAACATTTAAATACATTTTAAATTAATTATTCATTTATATAATTATTACTTTATTTAGTTTATTAAATGGTTTATTGTTTATGGTATGCATGATGTATTAATATGGAGGAGGTTTTTAAAACATTCTGATCTGAAGATTCAAGAAGGAACAAAGTCAATAATAAATGTGGTATAACTTTACCTTAATTAATATATTTATATTTGTATTCTCACAATGTAGATGTGCAAGGCTTAATCTTTGCAGTCCTTTAATTGGTAAAGATTTTCAATATCATGACGGGTAACTTTAGGTACAGCACACTGAAGAGAATGAGTTCCCATTTAAATATATATAAAGTCCCCATTGCTCGGTTGGTCAAGTTGTAAAAAGATGTATTTGCAAACTCTTTACTCTATTTAAAAAAAAAACTGTATTTATTTATTTTACAGGAGGATTGACGACCAGTTCGATGCTCTGCAGTCACAGAGACTGACGCTGACAATAGAACAACAGTTTGTTTCTAAAAGAACAGTAATTTGTTCAGCAATCGCTGTTGAAAACGTATTTCTATAGTTTTCTGATACATTTAAATATTCGTTTAGATAAAACCACTAAAATAACAGAATACAGAATAAGAATATGTTTTAAGAGTAGACATATGAGCGACAGAGAGTCTTCCTCATGATAATTAAAATCAAGATGGTTAAAATGGATATAATCCGTTAAGATTTCAGGTAGGCCTATCATGAAGGATAACTTTGACTTCTCTTGCAAAACCAGTCAAATAAAGGGAAGACCATTGCAAAGGATAGTCACTTGAAAAACACGTGGCCTCATTAAGGTTTCTTAAATAAGTATATTTTATTAATGTAATACTCCTACAAGTGCAGACCTGATTGTCTTGACGTATTCACGTCGTGCTCGAGTTGCTTTCATAACATATAAGAAAACGTGTATTTGTTATAGTTGGATAAGCCGTCGTCCATTGTTTGAGACTCATGAGAACAACCTCGAAGCTGGCTGTTTTCTCTCAGTTTACATCACGCTTAAGCAAAAGTCAGGTGGAGTCTGTTTTGCTGTTGCTCCCCCATCCCACAACCCACATGTGATTCTTAATTCCCATGAAGTGTCGGAACATTTTCAGACAAAGGCTCCCTGTTATCCGGCCTGCACAGATGGGTTACCGACGCCGAATTTGCCTGAAAAGACAAAAGAGGACTCTAACCGTAAGAGAAAAACGGAGGAGAAGTGTACCTCCCCCCAACCCCCCTCCCCTCCTCTCCCCAACCCCCCTCCCCTCCTCTCCCCACAATCCGTCCATCCCACTGGGGCCGTCAGGGACGCGTGCAGCAAGTGTGCCTCAGGACAACGCTTGGCTTTGTTGAAGCAGAAAAACGAAATATTGTCTATTGTTTTTAAAATTGTAATTTCAAGTCGCAAAAATATCCTATACTGAATATCCGCCAACAACTCCATGTTCATGGTTTCAAACATTCATCATATCCTACTGCCCTTTTAAAAGGGAAAACATATCAAGCTTCATCTAGTGCAGGGCGGAGAACAATGGACAGCATACGAATAAACATATATTTATTAGTATACATATATATATAATATACATTGACTGATTTGTAACAAGTCTCTATGTGAAATCCAGCCTCTTTGCTTAGGAGTTTGGCTTTACATTCTTGAATTTATTTAACTCTTTAGTAATTGTAATTTTGTAATTCTGCTTCTGTTTTGCGAGGTTTCATGTCAGATTAAAGCTTAATGTTCTTATATATTTTCAATGCAATGTTTGCAGTCCAGTGTAAACTATTTTATATTTAATGTAAAACTCTTCCAAAAATAACCTTGTCCTCGGAGTCGTACAATCTGCATTTCCAGAGCAGCATCTCTATCTCCACCAACAGATTGAGCTTTGTGTCTCGTCATCACCATATCATATTGATAAACACGCATTGCAAGAAAGCTTGGACGCTAAAATATCCATGAGTCAAGCCGAGGGAGACAATTGCAACAGAGTTTCCAAACAGGGGGGCGAGAGTGCTTTATTTCAGTTTGACAACAACATGGACCCATCAGAAACATGCAGATGGGGCATGTGTCGTGCGTGTAAAGTTGAAAAAAAAGTGTGTGTGTGTGTGTGTGTGTGTGTGTGTGTGTGTGTGTGTGTGTGTGTGTGTGTGTGTGTGTGTGTGTGTGTGTGTGTGTGTGTGTGTGTGTGTGTGTGTGTGTGTGGTGTGTGTGTGTGTGTGTGTGTGTGTGTGTGTGTGTGTGTGTGTGTGTGTGTGTGTGTGTGTGTGTGATATGGATGCAGGCTGGTTATGATGCTGGTGTGCTGCAGGAGGAGTGTGTGGGTGGTGGGGTCGATGGATGTGGGGTGGGGTTGGGGATGGAGTTGAAGGCTCGGTAACAGACAGCCATCTGGTCTCCGTGGCGCGTGCGGCGCGCGTGGTTCCCCTGAGTGCAGTGGCATTTGATGGGCTGTCATGTCTCTCCAGTTTTTTATTTAAAATCAGAAAATCTCACAGTTGTAATATAAAGTTTGAATCATACTTCGCCATGCACGATGGTTGGTTATTACATAAACCACATCATCAAGGAAACAGTGTAATACTTAAAACGTTTAAGAGTTAAAACCCATAGAAAGCTCGTTTTATATTTCACGGTGGCTATTGTGATTGAGGTGCACGCTATCTCGCTACCCACCCTGTGTTTTCAGCCCCCACCGCTCTACATGAGGCGTCGGTAGCAGCGGGAAACACACTACAGGTAGAGACTCCCCCCGGGCAGAAAATGCATGAAAAACGTCATATGCAAAACTATTGTTGTCAAAATCTAAGAGCAGATGTTGTTTTAAAGTAGCGTGGCTTGGGTATGAGATTGGAATAAGAGTCTGTCTCTATGGACACTTTTTCATACACGCAAGCCTGCCCCCTATGCCAATACAATATGTATTGCACCCTGTTGTTTAAAGTGTGCATATCTGTTGTTTGTTTTTAAGTATATTTTATGTTAAGGATATATTCTTAAACTTCGGCAAATTACACTCAATAAAATATAGTAGAACCTCAGTTTGTAACACAAATGTGCCTAATTTAGCAGGCAGACCCACTCAAGGATTCAAACTGTGAGATTATTGTTCTGAGGATAATAATGTAATTTGTAATGAAACTTCGTGTGTTACGTTGTTGGATCTCAAAATAAATGAATGCTATATAAGTTATATTTGGCTACCAACAACGTATGAGCACTGCGTAATTACGCACTATATTTATATAAAATGCTATATATATATGCGTATTTTACAACCTATCCGTCAATTATTTGTGAAATTATAAACATTGTGTAAATAATATGATATAAAATGTAAAGTTTGCAGAATTGGTGTTTTGTGAATGAGCATTTGGTGCGTCCAAACATGAGCATCTTTACGCACACATTTATTTAGCTTGTGGACGCAGATTTTGTTTTATTTTGTCTATGGATCATAAAGCAGGCACGCACTGCAGTTGTTATGCGTGGATTAGGGTAGCAGACAGATGGTTATCATGATACATTTGGTAGTTTTGTGGTGTTTCCATCGAACACACGGACAGAAAATGGCTTGGGGGCGTACCCATGACGCACGTAAACCGACGCCACGGCCCTGCATATATACTGCAGCCCTTGACCATTAGAGACACATCTTCTCCAACTTCTGCTTCCGACACTTCTCTGGCACAAAGACGAAACTGAAAATGTCTCCAAACATGATTTGCGAAACTCTCCCATCTTTTTCTCCAAGGCTCACTGTGGCCAAAAGAAAAGAGGCTCTCGAGCTCAGAAAGGTAAGCGAAGTCCCTGCAATTTGCTTCATTATCTTAAAAAACATTTCTGATGTTTTACCCTACTTTTGATGAATGGATTCTAATTGTGTTGTGTTTTCTTTCCAGACAATGAAACCTTTGATGGAAAAAAAAAGGCGCGCTCGTATCAACGACAGCCTGAACCATTTGAAAAACCTCATCATTCCCCTCACTGGCAGAGATGTAAGTTATTATATTTATTTCAATACATCTTTAAAAAAAAGAAAAACATTCCACACATGCTTATGTCAAGGCAACGTTTATGCTCATATGTTTAACATTTGCTTTTTTTTCTCTCCAGAAGACTCGCCACTCCAAGCTTGAGAAAGCTGACATCCTGGAAATGACTGTGAGATTCCTCAGCGAAATTCCCCCTGTTAGCACGAAAAGTAAGTCATGGTTCTGCTAGTTTAACGCTTTAATTGATATTTGTTTATACATAGAATGAACTCTTGGCATTTTTGAACAAAGAAACTAACATTTCATTGTCTTTTCAGATACTGCAGACAGTTACAGAGAAGGCTTCAAAGCCTGCCTCCAGCGCGTCTCCACTATGCTTCCCAAAACAAGCCTGGATCAAGACGCGTGTCAGCGGGTGAACGAATTCGTTCAGCAGTCCTCCTCCGCCACCGTCACCCCAACCTGCCTGCACTGCTGTGCTCAGAGCTCCAGGACTCTCCCTCAGATGCAGCAGAAACTCCTGACCCTCAAATCCAGCTTCAGCTCCAGATTGGAGAGCCAGTCCCGCGGCAGCAGCAGCAGCAGCGCAGTGGCTCCCAGCCGCGCGCAGCCCGGCCCACAGGCAGTCAGCGCTTCCATGTGGAGACCTTGGTAGATTTCTGATGGCGGGGTCTCCCTAAAGCCTGTGAAAAGACTGTAAAGTGTTTCATATGTAGGCAGCATGTCAAGAAAGTATCACTTGTAAATATGCACAGTGATTCACCGCCTCGCTTCCGTTGATGAAAAGCCAGAATTCATCGTTTAATCGAATCGGTTGAGTATTATATACTTACGTTTAGCGCGAGTCTTTTGTCCTGTATAAGTTGACAAGTTTAGACAGTCGTATTTTTTTAAATCTGCATGTATGTATACGGTAAATATTTAGTCCACTTCGCGGACTAAGTGATTAAGGGCCATTAAAACAGCCCTGTAAGACCCAAAGGGTCAGTCTGTAAGAATTTGCACGAAAAACTTCAGAGTACTGAGTCTGTGCAGATGAACCCTGTAGACATATATTATGTCAATGTAAGTATCTCTGTTGGGATTTGTTTTATTTTTGCTATTTAAAGCAAATGTTGTATATATGTTGTTCAAAGAAAAAATAAAACTACAATGTAGTTGTAATATATTGTGTTGGGTTTTCTTCACACTTTATGGTCATTTGCCAGAATTTTCCAGAATATTCGTTTTAAGTATGGAATCTTTACGCACAGCCATAAAGTGATGTCCTTATATGGAAAGCATTATTTCGTTGGCACATTTCAAACACAAGGATACATGTACCTTTTTTATATTACAGGCACCTAATTCACACCAAAAACCAAACAGCATAACGCACACACGAACTAATGTGTGCTAAGATGCATTGTATTGAAAAGCAACATAAAACATTTTGTGAGCCTCCTTCCAACAATAGGATCATGGAAACTAAAGCATCTCCAGACTTTAAACTGGACCTTAGCAAAGGGCCATGCTAAACATTTGTCCTTATATGGATCCTCTTTCTGTTTAATGAACAAAAGCCCGTGAGGAACATCTGTGAGGCAGACTGAACAGAATAAAAACCGTTAGTCGGTGTGACCTCGGGATGGATGTTGCGGTCACGAGACACTGCCCCTGCCCTTATTGTAATGCAGTAAGTGCGGTCTCTGCTGCCCTCCTTGGATGGTTGTAGGTATCGACATGGTGATGGTGTCTATTTCCGTTTCACAATCCTGTCTTACCCATTAGCTCTTTGGAAAGCACAGGCCAATACATGATGTAGGCTTAGTGGTTGTCTTTGAATAAACATTATTTGCAAAACAATTTAGCCACACACACGCTCTTTGCGTTTCTGTGAAGTCCAAGTGCTTCTCCCCCGGATGAGTCATTTCTCAAAGCCAGCAGACAGACACCGGTGGACCGGAGGAGTCTGAATCCCCTTCACTTCTCACAGGATCCCGCTGCATCACGAGACCAACAAAGAGCTCACCATCATCATCTTCATCATCACCACCAGCATGTCGGTAGTGCAGGCAGCATCCTCTCTTCAATTATGCAGGTAGGACGTTTGATACGACACATTACCACATGTGCAAGCAGCATTCACATGCTAATACCGTGCTGTGTTGAACGACAAATGACGAAAACAGCGCGGCTACCGGTGTCCTTCCTTCCCGGCTGATAACCAGATAATCCTCTTCGTGTCATGTTACATTACTACTATGTTCTGCCGGTATTCAAACATGTCCTGTTTTGGCTAGTTCATGTTAAATGAAGTGGTGTGTTTTCCGGTTGTGGTCCCGGCAGAGGTGCAGTCCTTTATGTAGGCTATGTCGCATGTCGTATGATATGTGATGACCTCAACGCGGTTAGCACCGGTAGAACACACGCTTAAACTCCCAAGGACACATTAAGGTCGCCATAATTTCACTGAAAGTATATTGAAAGTTGTATGTAATGGCGTGGGCTTTAATGAGGTTGTTCCTCTAAATAGTTTGTATGGTGAGGTGATAAATTAGGTGTGGTTGAGCCTTGAGGATTAATGGATACATAGATAAAAGGCAGAGGAAGCAAACTGGGAGCAATAGAGCCAACTGTGTAATTATGTGGTAATGACTGTTACCAATTAAAATATCTTTGCTATGAATCGCCTTCATTTCCCAGCAGCATGCAGTCTTTGTTGTTCTTGTGATCACCTGTAGGTGGAGCCATATAGCTATACACACTCGGCTTTCTCAAAATAAATCCATGTCAATTCAAGTGAAAACTACTCTTCACTGAAAGTTTTAGTGTTGTAGTAGTATTCAGCATGTCAGAACTAAAGATTTTGATTGGATTAATTAAAAAAATATCACCACAGTTTACCCAATAGCTTTAAATTCTCTCTAACCAGCGGCCTAAAAAAGCTCTAAGTTATAATGCCATTGTATGCCCATTTGTCTTGTAAGTTGCACTTATTGAAAGCCTGGTCTATACAGCTATTAGTTCCACATTCTGACACACTTTGCATTTGAGGAAAGATAACATATTTTCCACTCGACTGTGAGTAATTTCCACTCACAGTCTTTCATCATATTTTGCACTGAATGGTAATAAACCATATATTCCTGTAAGCTAACGTCTTTTTTGACTTCATGTTACTTCACCTGTTTGGGTCTTTAAATGACTTAAAGATGAGCCACATAGTCAAACCAGTTTGTAAGATGTATCATGTTTCAATATTTGTGTGATTATGCAGAGTGATGCCAGCAGATGGAGATGTCCTTTCATGTCCGTTTCCTTGGGCATGAACTACAGCTGTGTGATGGTCAAAGTGTTCAAACTTTTTTTTTGTTACGAGGGGATGTTATAGTTTCGTTGAACCTCCCACGGAAAAGCATTTCCCCACTTCCTGTGACCTATCCCTTTAGTGTAAACAGTTCAGTGGAAGGTGTGTGTGTAGTCAAATATAGGCAGTTCGTCAGCTTGTTTGTACAAAGGTTGGTTGATCATTGCAACCATTCCCTTAACTCAAAAGGAAGGGTCTTACTTCTAGCTTCCTTCTGTAACTTCGCAATGCAGTTTAATACAAAAAAATCCTAATTATTTTTTACAATTTTGTGCAATCATCAATACCCATTTTATTAGTATTACAGTCTTTAAATAGCTTTACTGTGACATTGCTCTTTATTTCTCCTACACTCTGCATTGCTGAGTCAAAATTAAAACCATCTTAACCTCAGACTTTGTGGACCTTTTGCCAGTCAGCCACTTTTCTCTGCAACTGCAACTGCAACTTTCTCCCAAAACATTAATTATGCACCTACAATGTGTCCACACATACTGCAGCCTGCTTTGCTTTTAGCCACTGCAAACTGTCCCCTCCTATGCTTTTGGCTGCCTTTAGTTACGTCAAATCTAAACTTCCCTCCACTCAAGCCACTCTAGGTTCACAGATATCCCATGACCAAATGGCCTCATTGCTTAGTTTAGGATTGGGATTGAGTTGTCTTTGAATAATCAGTGTTGGGTGTTTGACGAATACCTGTCTTACCTGGCAATGTAAGATTGCTAGGGTAAAACACAGTTTGATCCTGTGTGTGTTTCAAAATCACCCCCCACCTCAATCCCTTCTTTTTGCTTCGTTCGCTTTTGCTGATGAGACCTGGGACTGTAATGATGCCAAGACGTGCTTTTCAGAAGCTAATTAATAGTTTATGGCACTTTTTTCCGCAACAGAGGTAAATGTTCGGTGTTTGTTTTTGATTATATTTATGCAGTTGTTTATGGTAGTAGTATTCCTTTTTAGTTATTTGTAAGCTCTACTTTACTTCATTCTAAACAATGAGGATTAATATGAAAATGATTGATGAATTGTTGACCCAGTGCTCCTGTGAGGTTAACATTGGCGTTGTGAAAAGCTTTTTTGTGCTACACTGTATGTAATAGAAGTGATCCATCATCTTGGAAAGGAATGTACAGTACTTGTGAACAGAAATAAGGGGTACTTTATTTTTACTTTTAAATCAATTTTGGAAACACCACTCGAACATTTTTGTTCTTTCCGTTCCCCTGCTTTAAAGTATTGTCGGTGGCTTTGCCTTTGTCCATGTCAGCTTATTTCTTTATCGTCAGTTAGATATTGATAACACTTATTACTAGTTTTTGTGGATTTTTTTTTAACAGCTGTGTTTTGTGGCTTTTAAAGCTGTTTGGGTTGTGATCTTGGTCTATTTCCACTGTTGTTCTAATTCGGGATTTCTAAGCTGTTGTAGAACTTAAATCTTATGTACATTTGTTTTTATGAAAAAGATAAATCAGGCACACGGTTCCTGAAGAATAATGAGAATTTTAAGGAAACAACAACTTTGAAAACCTTTAAAGTTTGAATCGCTTGTGTTTCTTGGCCTCTTGACAGATAGGTTCCTGAGATATTTGTAAGTCTACCTGTCAGATGTGACACAAAGACCTAGGTGTGATGATCGTAATAGACCGTTGTCTATCTGGGCATCAGTGGGTGTGTTGAGATCCTGTTTGACCTGTCACGATGCCTAAGGCGGGGTTACGTCACATCACAGATTACAATAACATCAGGGCCCAAACATGTCAGAAGCTGCGAATGTTGAGATCATACAAAAGGGAAGTTGAACAGACAAATAGTCAGTGAGGGAGACAAGATGAGTTGTTTTTTCCCTCGGAGCGGCAGGCCAGCACATAAGGTGGATAAGAGATTGACAGCAGCCATTCGGAGTCAGCGAGGCAGGGGAGATGCGAGTTCTCAGCAGGACTCTAAATATGAACTCAGCAGGTAGCTCATCTCTGACACTCACACACATGCACACCCACACACACACACACACACACCCAAACATCCACACAACGTTTTGTCATAACACGTTTATTTAAAATAATTATTAATAATGAATACTACCTTTTTGTTAAACTTTTCATTGTTATTCAGACTCTCAGAGAGATATACTGAACAGTTTTGAGGTTGTAGCTTGTGCTGCTGTTGATTGGTTTGCAATATATTTTAAAGGGTTTGCTCATAAATGTTAAAGGTCCCATGACATGGCCATTTCTACTGATCATAATTTCATTGTTGAGGTATACTATAGATTTAAATTGTGCAATTTGCCAAAATCACATTGGTTTCTCATACAGCATCTCTGTATAGTATGTGTATTCTGGTGTTAAATTGCACGCGGTTTTTAACATTATTCAGACTCAGCTCTCTGAGCTTAAGCTTCTTTTAAATGTTGACAAAACCAAGGTAATGCTCTTTTCAAAAGCTAAAAAGACACCAGAGCCTGTTTTAGATATTGTAACTACGCAAGGAATAAAACTTGAAGTGGTTGCCTGTTACAAATACCTTGGTATCTGGCTTGATGATTGTCTCACTTTTAAACTTCATGTCAATAATCTGTTTAAAAGCTGAGGGTTAGGCTAGGTTTCTTTTACAGGAACAAGTCCTGTTTCTCACTTGAGGCCAGAAAAAGGCTAGTCACTGTGACCTTTTTACCTGTACTGGACTATGGTGATCTAATTTATATGAATGCACCTGCCAATTACCAAGTTAGATGCCGCCTATCACAGTGCACTGAGATTTGTGACAAACTGTAAAGTATTAACCCATCACTGTACCCTGTATGCAAGGGCAGGTTTGCCTTCACTAACTGTACGGAGGCTCAGTCACTGGTACATTTTTATATACAAAGCCATGTTAGGGAAACTTCCATCCTACATCTGCTCTCTGATCTCACGGCGAATTGTAAGTGGCTACTGCCTGAGATCGCATGCTGTGGTTTTATTAAATGTGCCAACTGCTAGGACTGTCTTAGGGAAGATAGCTCCTCTGTCTTGGAATAGTCTGCAAATTAAATGGAAACTGAGCAATCTGGTTCCACTAAATGTTTTTAAAGCAAGGATAGATGCTACTCAATCGGAAGCTGTTGGTACCTGTTCATGTGGATAGTTATGTCAACTGTAATCCCTGTAATGATGCTGTATGATGTCCTTTTTGTTGTTCTGTTGTTTTATGTTTCTATGTTTCATGTGGAACCTACTTGAGCAGGTCTCCCTTGAAAAAGAGATCAATGATCTCAAGGGATTCACCTGGATAAATAAAGGTTTGAAATGAAATGAAATTCACCAGGTATTCACTCTCTGTCCTAAACGGCTTATTGGAGCTCCTGCCCCCCGCTCCCTGTGAGCCCAGTGTGCTCTGATTGGTCGGGACGTTGCAAGGCTCGTTGCGAGGCTGGTTGCTGCGATCTGCTGCGAAGAGCGGACAGGTTTACGAGTCGGCGATACAGCGAGAACAAGCGAAACTCATCCTGGGCACACACAAACACTCACAGCCGAAGTAAAAACAATAAGTGTGGC